TTCAGTTGTGGACTGTCCAAGGCATCTACAAACTGATCCCTCAGCAACAGCTTGAGGACATTGGGTGGTGCAGTTGGGTAGGCTTTGTGTGTCATACTTTCCAAGACCTTTGCCAGCTCTTGCAGGCTCTCCCCTTTAGCACGGACTCTAGTCCTAAACCTAGCTCTGTAGACTTCAGACTGATTTTAGGTTCCATACCAGAGTTCTAGAGCAGCTACCAGTGTTCTATAGTTGTGCTTGTTGTCTGCTAACAACTGTCCAAGTATTTCCAGTGGTTGTCCCTTCGAGCTCATTGCCAGATATACTGCTTTCTGCTCCTCTTTCCATCCATTCATCTCTGCCAGGAGCTCAAATTGTGCTCTATATGCTTCCCACGGTGCTTTCCCATCGAATTCCTGTGGCTTCCTTCATACTAGATCACCCCTATTGCTGACATTCATATCTGGGATGTGACTTCTAACAGGACTGAAGATGTCTGCATTAGGGTTTAGCTGGGGGGTCTGGAAGGGGCTTGCCATTGTCTGGGATTGATTAAGTCGATGGTATCCTCCCTGTGTAAAAGACAGTAAATCGTCCTTTAATGTATTTAATTCACTCTGAAATTTACTAATGTTTTCCATTTGTGTACTCTGGCTTTCTCTCAATTGTTGGAGACTTTCTTCTTGTTTATTTTCTTTCTCCTCCATCCACTACTGTAGTCTCTTTTCTTGTTTCTTTTCTCGTTCTTCTTGTTTCTTTTCTTTTTCCTCCAACAACTGCTGTAATCTCTCTTGTTTATTTTGCTGTTTGAGCTGCCACTGTTGCAAGTTATCTTGCCACTGCTGTAATCTCTCTTCTTGTTTCTTTTCTGTTCTTGTATTGCTGCCATCAAATCTGCTAAGCTGCAGTTTGATTTGCCACCTCTCGTTTCCATCTTCTTCTTCTTATTTTTTTTATTTTCCACCCCACTTCTGACACCATATTGTTACATCTGTGTTTGTTTGTTAATTTCCCATCTCTAGTCGTTTGTTAATTTCCGTATAATTTCTTTCAGATGAAACTTTAGTGATATGAGTCCTTTCTTAAATAAAACTAGTTTATTCTTTCTCAATACGACTTTGCAATACACTTAATTTCCAGAGTCACTTTAACTTAAACACACGCTATAATTCACAACGATTTACACACTTTACTTATGACTTGACTCGATTATCTGTCTCTATCTCCCTGTCTGCTATGCAATTATCTCCCCCACTTTATTTGCCAGTCTTATATATACAAAAAAGAGGGCGTCTCAAGCCTTCTGGAACCTTCTAGATACTCATTACATGTTACCAGCGTCACGTGACTTCCGCTGTCGTAACAGTATTATTTTCCTTTCCTGTCCTTTAGTATTGATATTATTTATTGCAACACATGTCAATGGGTATTTCTGGCCAATATTATGGTATCTTCAGCAGAAATACTTTATCCTTTGGCAGAATGTTGTTGCAATAGTTACTACACGAACCATCATGAACTAAGAATGAGTTGGGTTATATTAAAAAAATTATTAAACCTTTCAAATATGTATCTTAAAACATAACTAACACATAATTAACTAAAATATAAAACTAAAACCCAGATACAATTTAACTGTGTATCTAACTAACATATTTCTAGGTTAGAAACAATGCAAAATGCTAGTAAGGACAAAAGTGAAAGCAATGCTAAGAGCAATTTGACTTGTTCTCTATGAAATTCTTCTTGCCAATTTTAAAATAACTATGGGGAGATCATATTTTAAAATGTGCTCTTTCTATTAGTTATAAGCATCTAGCTCAAATAAGTATAACTGGCTGAAAAATTACAACTCTGTGTGCAGAAATTTGGTGTGGTTTCTGTCAAGAGTTCCAAGAAATTTATTTCTCCTTTCTCTCAACATGCTCTAAGGAGCCTAAGAGAAGAATGTGTAAACAGAGCATTTAACCTAGTTTCTGTCTATATATAATACAATGTATGTGAAGAAGTATTCAAGTTACATAGACTGAAGAAAAGACAGCTCTTGTGTCACATGACAATAAAACTGAAGTTTATATATTTTTTAAAGGTTTCTTTTGAAATAAAGGAATTAAAACTTAAATAATATAAATATGCATTATAACATAGATTATAATTATAATTTCACTGACATAATTTGATTGTAAAATTGCTAAATTAAATTTTGAATGTAACTCATTAAAAACTCATGTCATGCAGAGAAATGCACATAAAGGGAACCCCATAAACAGAGGGTTAAAGAGTACAGAACTAGAACTAAACATTAACATCTAAGTGTACATGTTTCAGAATAAGTAACTATTTCTAATCATGAACTATGACCAAATACTATATTATAAGTGGGACACGATAAGGAGTAACTAACTATGTCTAATATAATCTTCAAAATGTACATGTGAAGTACTGATTAAACATGTCTATAGATTATCTTTAATATGAACACATCAAGGAGAAATTAACTATGTCTAATATAATCTTCAAAATGTACATGTGAAGTACTGATTAAACATGTCTATAGATTATCTTTAATATGAACACATCAAGGAGAAATTAACTATGTCTAATATAATCTTCAAAATGTACATGTGAAGTACTGATTAAACATGTCTAAAGATTATCTTTAATACGAACACATCAAGGAGAAATTAACTATGTCTAAACTTTTATCT